CCCCAAAACCCCAAAACCCCAAAACCCCAAAACCCCAAAACCCCACTGAGATTAACGAAAAATGAAATTAAGTATAAATTAAAAATGATACCATTTGAGCAACAAAGATTCGAGTTAATGGGAAACTCAGAATATGCTAGTGAAATATCAAGTGAAGAGCAACATAGAAGTAGGACGTCAACCAACCGGAGAGAAGGTTATGCTTCATCATTCTCTTCAACGAGAAGCTATCATGAGATAGATGATCAAGAGCACCAACATTATCATAACAGTAAGAAAGTCTAAATATATATGGTCAGTCTTGGAAGATTATAGAATGGAGCCTCACATGATTGAAGATTTCTTTCATCCTGATAATTTCTCTGCTAGACAAGAAATTAGAAGCCAAGATGAGAAGGAAAAGGTAAACATGCAGGTTTTAACTTAATTCCATAAGCATATTTCTCTGGTCTCTCTTAATACATCTCAAGCTTAAGATAATTAACCCTTACTTTAGGAGGATAATTTATCTGGCACAGTTGGAAGATTTTCATTACGATGGAGTGAATTGTCATTTCAAGATAAAGATCAGGATTGCGATATTCTAACCTGATCAATATGATTGTCTAGCCAATCTGAATCTTTAATGATCTGAAGATTTTGTGGCAATAATGCATGCAGCTCTTGATGGGATACAGTCTTTAAACAAAGATCCAAATGCTTTTACTGCAGAAAGAGAGTCAAAAAGCAAGATTTAGTCAGAAATCTCATGGTTGAACAAATCAGACATCAACTGGAAGTTTTTGAGTCCAAAGACAAAAGCAAACTCATCAAAAAGTGACCAGATCATGAGATGACTGGTAAACTATTCTGAGAAACCTGCTCGTGTTTCTTCTGTTTACAATGAATTAAAGAGTCTGTACATTCAGATCATGAAGTCTGAGATATTGAAGAGAATCCTGAGATCAAAGCTAAAATACTAGAGTCTAATAGGTACTGAAAGAAGCTAGTAAAGGGTAGAGACTTGCTTCAGACAGCAATAAAGGAACACTCAGATCTGGTTGATATGACAGTAAAGGACTTGGATGCTCATATCGAACAATTAAAATATAAAATTTTAGAAAAGATTGATAACGATGCAAAATCTTTGAGAAATGCACTCCAGCGAGAAACTTTATTTAACAGTGAGGCAAACAATGAGCTTGGGGTATTAGAAAATATAGTTAATGAAGTGAATACTTTGAGTCTTAGAACAGTGGATATATCTAAATTTAAAGAAATCATTGATAAACATGTTGAGGATCAAGGAGCAGCTAAAATCAAAGAATTCTTCAAAAATGAAAGTAAGCTCTTGATTTCTTGTTCTTATTTATCATGTTTAAGACTAATAATCAAATCATATTTAGAACTTTGATATTCAAAATGGAGCATACAGGATATATTTATTTTGAATTGAAACTCAACAATGAAGAACAAATTCTCAGAATTTATGAAAAAGACCCTCAAAGATACTATTTATGCAATTCTTTAAAATTCAATTTCAAATTTCTATCTAGGGGTTTTGGGGTTTTGGGGTTTTGGGGTTTTGGGG